CATCTAGCTCCGCCTTTCTCATGATGTGCTCTGCATATAAGTTAAATAGGCAGGGCGACAGTATACAGCCTTGCTGAACTCCTTTCTCAATTTTGAACGAATCAGTGGTTCTGTGTCCAGTTCTCACTGTTGCTTCTTGACCCTCATATAGGTTTCTCAAGAGACAAATAAGATGGTCTGGTACTCCCATCTCTTTAAGAACTTGCTACAATTTGTTGTGATCCACACAATCAAAGGCTTTAGCATATAGTTCTTCTGTGTAATCTTGCCACCTCTTCTTAATCTCTTCTGCCTCTATTAGGTCCCTGCCATTTTGGTCCTTTATTATGCCTATCTTTGCATGAAATGTTCCCTTCATATCTCCAATTTTCTTGAAGAGATCTCTGGTCCTCCCTAATCTATTGTTTTCTTCTATTTCTTTGCACTGTTCATTAAAGAAGGCATTCTTATCTCTTCCAGCTATTCTCTGGAATCCTGCATTCAATTGGGAGTATCTTTCTCTTTCTCCCTTTTGCTTCCCTTCTTTCCTCAGCTATTTGTAAAGCTTCCTCAGACAGTCATTTTGCTTTCTTGCACTTCTTTTTCTTTGGGATGGTTTTAGTTGCTACCTCTTGTACAATGTTGTGAACCTCCGTCCATAGTTCTTTAGGCACTCTGTCTATCAGATCTAATTCCTTAAATCTATTTGTCACCTCTACTGTATATGCATCAGGGATATGATTTAGTCATACCTGAGTGGTCTAGTGCTTTTCCCTACTTCCTTCAATTTAAGTCTAAATTTTGCAACCAGAAGCTCATGATCTGAGTCACAGTCAGCTCCTGGTCTAGTTTTTACTGACTGTATAGAGCTTCTCCATCTTTGGCTGCAGAGCACATAGTCAATCTGATTTCTGTGTTGACCATCTGGTGATGTCCATGTGTAGAGTCATCTCTTGGGTTGTTGGAAAAGAGTGTTTGCTGTGACCATCTTATTCTCTTGACAAAATTCTACCAGCCTGTGCCCTGCTTCATTTTGTACTCCAAGGACAAACATGCCTGTTATTCCAGTTATCTTTTGGCTTCCTACTTTAGCATTCCAGTCCCCCATGATGAGAAGGACATCAATTTTGGAGTTAATTCTAGAAGGTGTTGTAGGCCTTCATAGAACCAGTCAACTTCATCCTCTTCAGCACCAGTGGTTGGGGCATAGACTTGGACTATTGTGATGTTGAATGGTTTGCCTTGGATTCGAACTGAGATCATTCTGTCATTTTGGAGATTGTATCCCAGTACTGCTTTTCCTACTCTTTTATTGACTATGAAGGCTACTCCATTTCTTCTGAGGGATTCTTGCCCGCAGTAGTATACCTGATGGTCATCTGAATTAAATTGACCCATTCCTGTCCATTTTAGTTCACTGATTCCTAAGATGTCAATGTTCAGTCTTGTCATCTCTTGTTTGACCACATCCAGCTTGCCTTGATTCATGGATCTTATATTCCAGGTTCCTATGGAGTATAGATCTTTGCAGCATCGGACTCTCCTTTCACCACCAGATACATCGGCTTTGACCCAGTCGCTTCATTCTTTCTGGCACTACTAGTACTAGCCCTCCGCTCTTCCCCAGTAGCATATTGGACACCTTCCGACCTGAGGGGCTCATCTTCCAGTGTCATATCTTTTTGCCTTTTGGTACTGTTCATGGGTTTTTCATGGCAAAGATACTGGAGTGGGTTGCCATATCCTTCTTCAGTGGATCACGTTTTGTCAGAGCTCTCTGTCCCTCTTGGGTTGACCCTGCACGGCATAGCTCATAGCTTCATTGAGGTACGCAAGCCCCTTTGCCACTACAAGGCAGTGATCCATGAAGGAGCAGTGATCCATGAAGGAGCCTTCTATGTAATACTCCAAAAACACATGGCCCAGGTCAAGTACAGTTTATTCCTGAGTAGATTTTCAGAACTAGCACTCAGAAAAAAGATGCTACTACTGGCATTAAGTCTAGCCTCATGAAAAGCCCGCCAAAGAAATGTTCGCAGAACATGGAGCTACAGCTGAATAGGAGGAAACATAGCAACCCCACGCTCCCTTGGCCTCTGCTTCTTGGCTTCTGCCCTCTCACACCTATATTTCCCATTTTGACTTCCTTTAGCTATTGATCCCCTGCCTAATCAATTCTTTCCCTTGGACCATTGGAGCATGATCAGAGAAATAAGTGTGGATAAAAGGAGAGGCTTTTGAAGTCATAAAAACTGTGCACACAGACTGTACGCTTGGACAGCCTCTCTTTGGTCATTCTTACACCAATTCCTAGAGTCTATCATAATTTGACAGAATTCCTTGCAAGTAAAATGTGGCAAATATCCCAAACAGAACTTATATAACTTCTCACCACTCTCTACCTAGCTTGGCAAAACAGTTTACAGAGAGATGTTAGATTCAGAAACACATTTAAAAACTGGAATATGTACCTTTCCAAATTCAGCTAATACACTTTTTACCTATATACTTTTCTCACACCATGCTAGTGACAGAAAAAGATGAAGACGTGAAGGATACATACATCCTTTTCCTAGTGCAGTGGGCAGCTGACAGCACAGAGTCATTATTAATTAAACTTCCACCACATACATGGAGATATCCTACACCAATGCGGTAAATCTGAAGACTAACTTGCCATGGCCATGCCCCAGGCCGAGCTTCATGTCCACCTACAATCCGACTCCCTGATGATTTCTCACTCATAACAGGCCTTGTTCCACATTCTATAAATCAAGAGAATTACACTAGTGAGGTGAAATGTTTATAAGCCTGTAAGTACAATGCTTCTAAAACTTAGCTAACATTCTACAACAGCACATTTAAACTAGATCCTGAGACTCAATATTTTAAACTGATCAATTTCTCATTACTGTCCTGTTACAGGACCATGTTGAGACATTAAGGCAGCCTGGAGAATTCTATGAACCCCTAAATCCCTTCATATCAGAAGTTCAGTAAATAAGTCAGTTTGATTCACAAATGAACCTGCTCTAAGGATAACGCCTTCTTAAAACAGTTTGGATAATTCATTTGGTATATGCATAGATCCAACATTTTTATTACTTGAAATTCTGAAACACTACTGGATTGTAATAAAACTTACCTCCCTGAAAATATGCTAATGATCACAAACGGTTAACTAAAGTATTTATAATATTCAAGTATTTTCTTGCCCTTCTTTCAAAGCAGTTGGCAAGATAAAAAACACATAATTAAGAAAATCATCAAGGAGAGTAGTGGATGAGAAAGTCATTTCTACTAATTAGGACTAATATCTTGTCCATATGCAGTGGGGCATTTCTCACATACAGGGCTGGACCAACTATTAAGTTCCAACTGTTGTTGCAGGCAGTGGTGACTCACTAAAGCTGTAACGAATGAGTCCTCAAATTACCATGCTCATATATCTGGCCCGCCTCAGAGGTTTTGGACTTGCTCGGAGAAAACGATCTCGGAGTGAGTCCAAAGCTCTGAGCCGGCACAGGCGTTCTCAGAAACCGAGCAGAGAGCCAGCACATGCACCAAATTGCAACAGCTCAACTGTGTGTGTGCTGGCTCTCCCCCTACCACTGCATGCATATACAAAGCGGGAATACAGAGTGGGAAACAGAAAAGAGGCAGGTGGAAGAGAAAGAGAGACGAAGATGAAGAAACTAAAAAAGGATTGCAAGTAAGAAAAATATAACTTTTTAAATCTATTTTTAATTATGCGAGCCCCGGGGGTGGCCAGGCCGTGTGGCCTTCTCCGAAGGAGCAAGCCGCTGCCGCCCCCTTACCAAGCCCAGGGTGGACAGGCTGAGGCAGAGTGGCTTACTCAGAGAAAGCTGCGGGGCTCCTGCACCTCTGCTGCAGCCTTCTCCGAGCAAGCTAACAACATTTTTTCAATTTTTAAATTAATTTTAAGTGTTAATTGATGTACAAATTTATTTTAATTTTAATTAATGTTTAAATTTATTTTAATTAAATCAAATTTTTAATGTGCAGTGTGCATAGGAATTTATTCTTTTTTTTTTCAAGCTAGTTCGGCCCCACAACAGTCCGAGAGACAGTGAACTGGCCCCCTGTTGAAAAAGTTTGAGGACCCCTGCTGTAAAGGAAACAAATCTCTACTGTTCCTTTTTAGAGGTTCTGTGGTGGCCATTTCATCACACACACATTTCTTTGGAAAGGATTAAATAGGGAATTAGACTGTCCTATTTTGCCTAATCAATGGACTTATGTTTCTGCACCTGTGCAAGAAGTGTCTATAAATCAGGTTTCATCGTATTTGGCAAGAACTTTTTGAATGCCCTAAGGGTTTATTAAGGTTAGTGCTATAATGCCATTAACATTTTTCCTATTCATACATTATGATCAATAGTTCCTCTTTTTGAGCAAAGTTTATAATACATTTTAACGATTTGAAATTATTTACCTGTGCATATAAGTTAACATAAGGACAATGTAAGTGTGTTTTCCACACTCTTTTGACAGCTAAAAAGCTAATACTACTTCAATGGAAAGATAAAATACCTCGTATAATGAATCAAAGACCTAATGACACTTTCAGTATTTGAAAGGAAAACTAGAATCTGATTTTCAGGGAGAAGTCACAATCAATCCTTTTGTTTTCCCGCAGTACCAGGTTTTCTGGGCTGCTATTCATTATCTACAAGAAACAAAGCACCTCGAGTAGATAGGATACCAAAAGAAATATTCCAAGCTGCAGAGACAGAATTGATCCAACCGCCAACAACAACATGCCAGAAAATATGGAAAGCCATTGTTCTAATGGCCTATAATCTGGTAACATTCAATTTACTTTTCAGTCTCCAAGAAAGGAGATGCAAAGGATTGCGGCAACCAGGCACTAGAGATCATATTGGAAATATATGTTGGCTACTGGAATACAACAAACATTTCAGAAAAAAGTCAGTCAGTGCTTTATAGACTACAGCAAAGTCTCTAACAATGTGGTCATAAGAAGCTGTTGGAGAATCATACTATTTTATTGGCAGAGAGCAGCAATGCCTTGAAAACAACTCCTGGTGAAAATGAAAGAAGGAAGTGCAAAAACAGGACTGCAGCTGAATATTAGGAAAAGAAAAATCAAGATTTCAGAAGAAGTACAGAATTTTACTGTCAACAATGAAGAAATCATAATTGTGAAATATTTTGTATACTTTGTTCAGTCATCAGTTCAAAGGGAGACTGCTGCCAAGAAGTTCAAAGAAGACTGAAAATTGGAAGGGCAAAAATGAAGGAACTAGAAAAGATAATCAAATTAGGTATGTTTCACTGGAGGCCAAGGCCAAGATCACACCATTGTACACCCCATCACTGTGTGTGGGTGTGAAAGCTGGAGAGAAGATGACAGGAAGACAATTGATCAGTTTGCAACATGGTGCTGGAAGAGAGCTTTGCAAATACCTTAGACTGACAGGTGAACAAATTGATCCTAGATTAAATCGAGCCTGAACTTTCCTTGGAAGCAAAAAATGACAAAACTGAGACTGTCATACTGGACACATTATGAGAAGGCAAGGCTCACTGGAGAAGACAATCATTCTAGGGAAAGTTGAAGGCAGAAAATGAAGACCAAATAAGAGGTGGGTTGACTTCATAAAGGGAGCCACAACTTTGCATTTACAACAGCTAAGCAGGGATGTGGATGTCACAGATAGGATATTTGGGTGGGCTTTCATTTATTGGGTTGCCATAAGTTGGTGGCAATTTGACAGCATATAACAACTCATCACTCAGTTGGAGAACCATGTGTTACTGTCATCATCTTCACATGCAAAACTGCCTACATCCCACTGAGATTCATGAAATCCTGACAATGCTTTTACAAGCAACCATCTTTGCACAAGTCTTGAAAGAAAGCAGTCCCATCTCTAGGTGCTGCAACAACCGTGTCTTCATGCTTGGTTCCGAGGTGCTTCCCCTTAAGACGGCTGCCAGTCTGAACTGTGGGTGTAACGTCCATGTATGGTAACATGGGTATACTTGCCACATATAGGGAACCCTTATATTGTCATATATGAACACAACATCCACAGAGTACTGACAGCAGCTTTCAGTAACACACCCATGCACAGTTTATTCTTAATTTCTTGACTGCCCAACAGTGGGGGACAAGGGTTGCCGTATATGATGGAAGGTGTGTACACGAACATGAAGCAACCCTGTTGCCTGAGCCACTTTCCGCATGGTGAGGCTTCCAGACAGGCGTAAGCCCTGGGACCTTTTCACTGGGCCTAAATGCCAACCGTGTTCGACGTGCAGCTGTGTCCGGAGAAGAAGGAACGTGGTCGCCTTGGCCTAGACAGGTTTTCTGAGGACTTCTTGGGGAAGAACCCCAACGCCCGCATGCTTAGGAACGGTTCTCAGTAATCTCAGTGGGGCAGGCCTCCGGAAAACACCGCTACAGCCGCTGCCTTCGCTTCCACCTGACCTGTGCTTGGGAGTGAGAAGGCACCTACATATTTGCATCCCGCATCGCCACCCTCTCGCACTACAGGCTGCCTGGGTAGGCAGTTTCGGAACGGGGAGGGGAGGGGGGTCCCGCTCCCGTCCCATGCGCAAGCGCACTTCGTTCCGTGGCCATGGCGGCCTGAGGGGCGCTGAGCCAGCGAATGAGCCGACGCAGGCCGGGTTCATCCGCCGGCTCGGCACCCCATGGAGGACGCGGGGAAGCCGCGCTCACCGTATGCAGGGAGCACGAGGGGCAGGGCATTCGACGAGACTGCATCCAGCAGCACCAGTAGCAGCAGCGCCCAAAGGCAGGCAGGCACGGGGCGAAAAGCCCGACGCATCGTTTGTCTAGGAAACAAAATGGCTAGCAGAGTCGGGTTCAGCGTCACATGACCGCGGGCGCGAAAAGATGGGGTCGCTTGCGAAGGTTCCAGGCTTTCCCCTGCTCCTCGCGCTCCGCGGGTTCCTCATTAAGTGTTCTCTATCCCTTGGGGAAGGGTGGGGATTGTCTATAATGGAGGTAAGAAGGACACAGAACGAGAAGAGGATGCTTGAGGCAATGGAGGAAGTGGAATGAGCGCGATCTCCCCCAAGCTCGGGCAAGATGAAACCTCTTCGCGCCAACTTGCCGCCCTGTATTGACTTCCTTGGACTGGGAACTGTAGGGATTGGTATAGTAAAAACGAACGTCTTTTTGAGGCCTTCCTACATTTATTGGCCAAGTGGCAAATACGTATTAACTAGGTCCATATTTTAGGGTGTCAGCTGCTGATGCCTTGAGTGCTGTATTTTATAATTCGGGTATCTTGCAAGGTTTCAGTCTTGATCCGGGTAATAAGCACTTTCTCATTTTCTGCGTACATAACGTTTGGTAGAAAAATACCAGCTTCAGAACTGACATATTTAAGAGTGCAGTAGCGCTTTGATGATACTTGTGTTACCGGACTCAGCCAGTCAACAGCTGGGGCGAACCCCAGGTGGACCCCAGACCCCAAGCCAAACAGAGCCTGAGATGAGACTTAGAGCTAAAAGCAGTTTTATTCTAGCGCACTATAGAATAAATGGAGACAAAGGGGAGATGCTTCCCAAATCAAGAGTCTCGAAAGAGGTACAAAGAACATACATTATATACCCTATGTCATAAACCTGTTGTCCAGATACAAAGTAAATTCATTTCCCAGTTATTCTTTGTTCTGTTTGTTAGTTTACAGAAAACTCTATTTATCCAAAGACTCCCCTTCTCATGTGTCTGTTGATTATCTCTAAA